GGTAGAAGCCACGAGCCAAGAATGTAGGCAGACTCTAGAAGCTGAAAAAGATACTCATGTATACACACATGCATACAAAGAGAGAGAAACTGAGAGAAACAGAGAGAGAGAGAGGGAGGGAGAGAGAGAGAGAGAGAGAGAGAGAGAGGGAATTACTCTGCTCTAGAGCCTCCAAAAAGGAATACAACTCTACCAATGTTTGATTTTAACCCATACAGACCATTTTGACCTCTGACCTCCAGAAGCATTAACATAATAAATCTGAGCTGTTTTAAGCCACTGATTTGTGAGAACACGGTTAGCAGTAAGAAACAAAGTTAGGAGGCTCCAGAGGGGAGGCCACTGTTTGTGTCCTCCAGCTTCTGGTGACAGATAGACAGTACACTTTGACAATATTTCAACTTCTGCCTCAGTCTTTACATCGCCTTTCTCTCTTCTCCTGTGTGTGCCAAAGCTCTTTCTTCCTCTAATAAGGACACTTGACTGACTTCAGGGACCACCCAGATAATGCAAGATCACTTCTGCCACCATCAGCCATTTCCTTAACTCTAAAAACTCTCCTTGATCACACCTCATCTCAAGACACTTAATCAAATTTGGGGAGCCATATATGGCAACAGTCATAGGTTCCAGGGATTAGATGTAGACACACTGTTTTAAGGACCAACATTCACCTCACTACAACTATATCCATCAACATACTCAATGAACATTTACTGAGGTCCCTTTGTACCCAGCTCTGTAATGAGTAGACACTGAAGATATAGAAAGTTTCTGTCCTAAAGGAACTGATAATCTAGTAATGGAGAAAGACAAGAACCAAGCAGATAGAGCTTTATACGAGCATGTTTAAGGAGCAGCTAAACTAAATCAGAAAAATAAAAGTCCCTTTTTCCCCCACTTCTGGGACCACTGTCAGAACTTGAGATCTTCCCCATCCCCCACCAAAAAAAAGTTACCAGAAAGCAGAAAGAACTACACTCTCTCTTATCAATTAACATCACATTCAATCTATTAACAATACACTAAGACAAATAGGATTCTAGTTCATCAATGACCATTTGATCTAGCATTTAGAATGACAGCTGGTAAGTTAAAAAAAAAAAAAAACTTCAAAAAAATAGAAAAAAGAAAAGTAGAAGAAAATTTAAATTGCAGCAAAAGAAATTTGATGGCTAAGATGGAGAAAGACAGAGCAAACATACTCAATCTTCTCTACCAAAAACAGTAACAGACCATGGTGAAAAGTATTTCTAACATTCTTTAATTCAGAGTTCTTATTTTTCCATATTACCGTTTTTCCTGCACCAGAAGTAAGACTATAAAAAGGACCTTAATATCAGCTACAGAATTTAAAACAAAAACTCGATACAAAAAAACTAAGTGTAAAATAGCCATAATATCCCATGACATCTCTTTATAAAAGCAACCAATCTCAAAAACCTAAATTTTACAAATTATACAAGAAACTAACATTTATTTAACACTAAGTATAAGAACTAAGAGAACAGTTCTAAATAAAGTCTAGGTTTTTCCTTCAATTTCCTCAAGTCAACTCCCTTTTTCTATAATCTTGCTATTATTGGTCATGCATGAGTCCCCACACCTTCATAACTGTCCAAAAATGGTTTTTTTATTTATGCCTCATTAAGATTTTCTTCACATAAATTCCTTCAACTCAAATCAGAGGCAGCAGTGGCTCCCAGTGGCCAATTTATGAAAGGTATATTTTCCTATCATAGTTCTTGTATGTTCATAAACAATTTCTGCAACTTTAAGAACCTTACAGAAATTACTATATTAGGAAAAAGTTAACAAAAGGATATTTAACTTTAATCCTGTACTCTTCCACTTGACCATAACAAATTATAATACACAGTTTTTTAGCCAACTAAGAGATTTTAAAACATAAAATACACTACTTAACATTAAGGGTTTGCTATGGTTTGTCTCTTCTGAAAGTCATTGTGGAGAGTTAAGTCCTTATTATAAAGAGTTAAGAGGGCAGAAACTTGACTGAAAACTAGCGGCTTTGTAAGAAAGACCAGAGGACATATACTGTGCTCCCTTTCTGTCACCACGTTATGTCATGTACCAACCCAGGACTCTGCGATCAAGAAAGCTACCAATACATGTGACCCTTCAATATTGTTCCAGAACTGTGAGCCAAAATAAACCTATTTTGTTTATATCATATCAGTATTGTGTTGTTAGCAACAAAAAATGGACTAATACAATGTTTCTGCATTTTCAATATTCCTGGGATTAATTACTGACTCAATTAAAGAACTGAACAATATTTATGTGTGTTACAAAGTATTATCATCTACTTACTGTTATAGAAGTTTGATGAAGTTTAGGGTAAGACCAGGACTAATTCCACCAGCACCCTTTACCTCAATTATATAGCTGAGAGGACATTTTACATTTTTTACCACAATATGCAGTCATCCCTCACTACCGGGGGGGACTAATTCTAAAACAACCCTCCCACACCAAGGATATCAAAATGCCCACGTCTCTTATATAAAATGACACAGTATTTGTACGTAACCTACACACATGTTCACACACTACAAATCCTATCTACATTTCATATAACTGAAATAGTGTAAAAGCTATGTAAGTAGCTGTTATATTGTTTAGGAATAACGATAAGGGAAAGTGTAAGCATGTTCAGTACAGATGCAACTTTTTTTCCTAAACATTTTTCATCTATGATTGATTGAACACACAGTTATCAAGAGTCACCTGTACATGGTAAAAAGACTTCTAAAGATGTCACCAAGATTCTTTGCCTGGCTTAGACTAATAAATTCAGCTGAACACTAATCTTGGCACTGTTGTGAAAGGACTTTGTGATAGAATTAAAGTTACCAATCAACTGAAACTTAAAAAAATAATCTGGAATGGGAGAGCTTGGTGGTAAAGCACTTGCCTAGTTGGATCCCTGGCACCACAAAAATAAAATACAAAAATAAGAAATTTTCCTAGATTATTTCTCTTGGCCAAGTGACCCACTGCAATCAAATGTACCCTAACAGCAGCAGAAAAGTCAAGTCATAAGAAATATGAAGCAAAAAAAGGGACATGATCTGCCATTGCTGCCTCTGAAGATGGAGGAAGGGGAGACACAGCCATGAAACAAGAGCAAACTCTAGAAGCTAAGAAATACAGCCAGCAGGGAAACAGGAACCTCACTCCTACAATCAACATAGTACTTGCCTCACACTTCAAGATTGTGAACAAAATGTTACTTTCCCTAACTACCTGGGGCAAGTATAATAATGGACTCCCAAAGCTGTCCATTAACTAACTCCCAGAAGTCATGACTATCCCAAATGAAAGCACAAAAGGTAATTACAGCTTCAGATAAATCAAGGCTGCTAATCACCTAGCTTTTAAAAGAGGGAGATTATTCTGGATTATCCAGAAGGACCCAATATATTCACAAGTGTCCTTAAAAGACTCAGATGTTATTACAAAAGAATGATTAGAGATGCAAAGCTACTAGCTTTGAAGACAGAGGAAAGAGACCATGGGCCAAGAAACGTGAGCAGCCTCTACAGAAGAGATAAGAAAACACGTTACTTCTGAGAGCCCCCATGAATTAACACAACCTTATCAATGTCTGAGTTTTAGTCTACTGACTCCTATTTCAAACATCTGACCTCCAAAAGTACAAAGTAATACCTTTGTATTGTTTAAGCCACTCTTAAGTTTATGGTAACTTATTAATCAATAGCAAACTAATATTCTACCCTAATTAAGGGTATGTGCCTGGATAGGCATGGTAGTACAAGCTTGTAATCTCAGCACAAAAGAGGCTGGAGCAGGAGTATTGCCAAGGACAAGGAGTATTTAAAGGACAATCTGGGCTATCTAGTGAGAGACTGTGTCAAAAAAAAAAAAAAAAAAATTTTAAGCCTTCATACGCTCTACTCATTTTGTTAATTTTTTTTTCCTTCAGAAAATGCATTACCTTCTAATTAACTTTATAATTTACTTATTTTGTTCAATAAAGGCAGGAATTATCCATTTTGTTTACTTTCCCAAAGCCTGGTACATAGTTGTATTCAAATGTTTGCTGAATAAACATTCAATGGAACAACAAAAATTTGAATATACAAAGAGTTGCAGCAGCCAGGCACCAGTGGCTCACACCTATAATCCTAGCTACTTGGGAGGCTTAGATCAGGATGATTGTGGTTCAAAGTCATTCCTGGGCAAATAGTTGGTGAGACCTTGTCTCAAAAAAACCCATCACAAAACTGGACTGGCAGAATGGCTCAAGCAGTAGAGTACCTGCTTTGCAAGTACAAAGCCCTCAGTTAAAACTACAGTCACGAGAAAAAAAAAAAAACAAATTTGAGGCCAATCTGGACTACACAGTGAGTTCTAGACCAACCTGAGCTACACTGTGAGACCCTGTCTAAAAGAATGATAAAGATGATTCTGGTAGTGATTAAAATGTCATTAATCTTAAAGAAAAACTATAGCAAGTAGTTATTTGTATTCAATGTCATTCAGATTTATAGCAATGCATTAATACCTCTCAAAACACCTTTTTTCTTCACAATTCCAACACCTTTTGTATCTTACAAATTAATAACTCAGGAGACACTTCAAACATCTATTAAGTATGCAATTTTTTTAAAATTCTTAATATTTTCAGTACCATATCCTATAATACCTACAAATTCAGAAGGTAAATATATACAAAGTGTTTTCTTCCTAAAGGAAGTTACTGACAACTTGAAAAGTCTCCCTGTTTAAATATAAAATTCCTGGAGGCATGGCTCAAGCAGTAAAGCACCTGCCTAGCAAGTAAGTGCAAAATCCTGAGTTACAACTCCAGTATTGCCAAAAAAAAAAAAAAAAAAAATCCAAGAATTTTACATATAAAAGAAAAAATTCTGGCAATTACCAGTCAACGGTCTTCTGTTATCTTTTGTTGGAGTAGTAGAGAACAGACTTTGGTGTTACAAAGAGTCACTCACCTGTACCAGGAGTAGTAGTTGTAACTCCAACAAGAGGACTCTGCATTACTGAAATGTTAGTCTACATGAAAACAGAAAAAAAGTGTTATGGTAGAAATCCAAAGTTCTAAACATACATAGAGACAGTAATTATTAAAGGCTTTCTTCCAATAGATAATCGTATAGTCCCCAATACATTAGACCCATCAGCATACTACTTGTCTAAAATAAGAAAAGCTGGGGCTGACAGAATGGCTCAAGTAGTAGAGAAGCTGCCTAGCAAGTGTGAAGCCCTGACTCAAAACCCAGTACTGCAAAAAAAAATGAAAAGGGAAAAAAAAAAAATTACATTGGGTTTAAAAAAAAAAAAAAACAAGGCTGGCAGAATGGCTCAAGTGGTAGTGTCTGCCTAGCAAATGTGAGCCCTGAGTTCAAACCCCAGTAGAATCCCCCAAAAAAACCTACTTTATAGGAAGTAACAGTAACATGGTACTTTGTTTTCAGTTCCTAATGTTCAATAATTAAAATAATGGAGATAATGTGATTCCTCAAATCACAAAGTTCATACAGAAAATCAGAAAGATAATGTTTTAGACAAACTATGACATACTATAGACTAAAATCAGCATGCACAGGACTGGAGGAATGGCTCAAGGGGCAGAGTGCCTACCTAGCAAGCACAAAGCCCTGAATTCAAACCCTAGCACCACCAAAAAGACAAAAACAAAAGTCAGCCTGCACAATGAAAAACAGCATACCCTTACAACTACCAATAAAAAATTACAAAGCTAGAAAATTATCATTACTAATCCCTGTAAATATGAGAAAGGTAAAAGAAATTATAAAACTAGCTAAAATCCTTCTATAAATAAAAAACCAAAAAAAAAAAAAAAAAAGGGAGAACAGATTCTCTATACAAGTAAACATAGATTTTTTAAAAGCAAATTCCAATTTTTCTTTTTTAGGGGGATACTAGAGTTTGAACCCTTTTGGCCCTTTTTGCTTTAGTTTATTTTTCATTAGTTTTTGCCTAAAATAGCCTAGGAATGCAATCCACCTACCTACACCTGAGATTACAGGTGTGCCCCACCACTCCCAGCCCAAACAGATTCTGGTTAAAGAAATCTATAAGCTAGCTATATGTGGAAACCAGAACCAAATGCTGAGAAAATGTAAAGAGAGATACAAATTTTATTGTTCAATTCTTTTGCTTGTTTGTTCTTGGCAGTACTAGGGTTTGAACTCAGGGCATCCTACTTCCAAGGCAGGCACACCACCACTTAAGCCACACCTCCAGCCCTGTTCAACTCTCAATGCTACTGTCTTTCACGCCTGGACAAGTTAAGCCAAGTTTCAGGGCACATGATTAATTTTGGTTCTAATCAAGCAATAATAGTCTTACCAACTTTCAAGTCAAAAACATTATCAATTATGATCCATGAATATTTTAAACATTTCCAACATAGTAGTAAACTACCTTTCTTTTTATTTATCAGAGAAGCAATGAAAACTAGCATAGATTTAGAAGTCAGTGGTTCTCACACCAAATTAAACATTAGATTTACTTAACTTTTAGAACTTTCCCTGATCAGGATACTCTGTATTTAGTAAATCTATAATACCACCATCCATTAAGAATGTAACACATGTTATAAAAGTAATTTTTTTGGAGGTACTGGGATTTGAACTCAGGCTCTCACAACTGCTAGGCAGGCACTCAACACTTCAGCCATTCTGCCAGTCTTTTTTTGTGATGGGTTTTATTCAAGATAGGGTCTTGGGAACTATTTTCCCAGGCTGACTTTAAAACCACAATTCTCCTGATCTCTGCCTCCTGAGTAGGTAGGACTATACCCACCAGTGCCAGGCAAATTTTTTTTTTTTTTTTTTTTTTTTGGTGGCGTTGGGCCTGCTAAACAGGCGTTTTTACCACTTAAGCACTCTGCCAGCAGCTTTTGGGGTTGTTTTGTTTTGAGACAGGCCCTCTATTTGTAATCCAGGCTAGCTTGGAATTCATGATCCAATAGCCTCAGTCTCTTTAGTGCTGGGATTATATTATATAGGTAATTTAAATTTTTGAACAGGTACTTTAAAAAGTATAAACAAGCTGGGCACTGGTGGCTCATGCCTGTAATCCTAACTACTCAGGAGGCAGATCAGTAGGATCACAGTTCAAAGCCAGCCTGGGCAAATGACTCACGAGACCCTATCTCGAAAAACCGCATCACAAAAAAAAGGGCTGGTGACATGAGTAACATGTAGTTGTCAAAAGTGTATCTCCATTAAGCCAAGCACTGGTGGCTCACACCTGTAATCCTAACTACTCAGGAGGTAGAGATCAGGAAGATCTAGGTTTGAAGTCAGTCCAGGCAAATAGGTTTTGAGACAGTCTCAAAAATACCCAACACAAAACAGGGCTGGTAGAGTGGCTTAAGCGTTAAAACGCCTGCAGAGAAAGTATGAGGCTCTGAGTTCAAACCCCAGTACAGACAATAAAAAGTATATACTAAGTAAGATTAGTCACATTTTTTTCTTTCAGTACTGAAGTTTTGAACTCAGGACCTACACCTTGAACCACTCCACCAGCCTTTTTTTTTTGATGGGCTTTTCAAGATAGGGTCTGGCAAACTGATTGCCTCTGCTGTCTTCGAACCACTATCCTCCTGATCTCTGCCTCTTGAGTAAATAGGACTATAGGACTGAGCCACCAGTGCCCAGCAAGACTAACCACATTTCAAGTATCAACTGCCATTCCTGGCTAGTGACTACTGTACTGGACAGGAGGATAGGTCTAGAAGTATTGGAAAGAGAAGGTACACTAGCTGGGTGACAGTGGCTCATACCTGTAATCCTACCTACTTAGGAGGCTGATGATTATCAAGAAGATTAAGGTTCAAGGCCAGCCCAGGCAAATAGTTCAAGAGACCCCCGCCTCCAAAAATAACCAGAGCAAAATGGACTAGAGATGTGGCTCAAGCAGCACAGTGTCTGCTTTTCCTGAGTTAAACCGCCCCACCCCACCCCCAAAAAAATTAAAAACCAAAGAATTATCTACATGAGAAAAAAAATCTAGAATTTTTTTTCCCTTGGCTTTTTGAGACCCTGTCTTGCTATGTAGCCCAGGCTGGCCTTGAACTCTGCTCTGCCTCAGTCACCTGAGTGCACCATTCCTGGCTTAGCACGTTATCACATTTTTAAGTACATTTCATGATAAACACAACTTAAGTAGACTCTGATAAATTGTGATTAATGCTTATTCTGTACAACACAGTTACTCTAGAACAGACCTTAGGGAAAAGTTCACCTAATTACTGACTCTCACTGTGTAGTCACTTAGAAACAAAATGAGTTAATCAGGATCATGAGGATATGTGTATCACCTGTCTTCGTGAAGTTAAAGGTGTTGCCCCAAGACCTGGGCTGGAAATGTCATCATATATACTTCTAACAGGCGGAGCTCCACTTTTATCCTTATGAGCTGGTACAACTGGTTGTGGTGGTGACCCACCTAGAATGTAAAAAAAAAAAAAAAGTAAGAAAGCAAAGGAATCTTTCATTTTTATGCTAAAATTTTTCAAATTTGTTTTTGAAATAATGAACTCTTGTCTCCTGGGGCTATTCAAACTTTAAAACCAAAAATTACCTTGAAAGCTTGTTAAAATTCGGACTATACTCAGAAGGCTGGAGCTGAGATTATTCAGCTCTGAAGCTCCCAGCTAATGCCAATTCTGCTGAGCCACAATGCACTTTGAAAAGTAGTAGTTAAGACAAATCTTTGTTTTTAAAAATCATAAGTAACGTTTGCTTTTCCACTAAATGCTTAACATTTCAGTACAATACGTGATTACAGAGGCAGGTACAGTAGCCCACGCCTATGGTCCCAGCTACTTAGAAGGTTGAGACTGGAAGATCACCTGAGCCCACAAATTCAAGATCAGCCTGGACAACATGGTGAGACCCCCATCACAAAAACCAAAGAACAAAATATAATCCCATTTCTCACCTGCAAGTACAACTCCATTTTGCATTTGCCTGAATAATTATAATCCCCCAGTACAGAATGTCTGTCAAAATTAAACTGCATTTATGTTTCTCACATTAGAAATGTATTTAAGTGGTTAACAAAAATGTAGAAAATGACCAACTTTTGTGACATAAAGATTCTTTATAAGTCAGAGAGCCAGCAATGCTAAATAGTGAAGCAGCCCAGGCCCTCTATAAGACTATATGAGACCCTGAAGAGTACACATAAACTGCTTAGAGCACAGGCTATAGGTGAAACTGACCTGGACTTTAACATTCTGCTATCACTAATAAGTGAGTACAGCAAATTACTTATTACACTTAGCCATAGTTTCCTCTTTTGGAATGTGGGGATACTACTTTTTGAAAAATGAGGCTATTACTTACTACCCATCCTTTAAAGTTGATTTTTAAAATGAGATAACATATATAAAATGATTAGCATACAGCCTGGCTCATAAGCACTCAATATATGGTGGCTACAATATACAAAAATATATTTTTATATATTTAATAAAGGTAAATAATAAAGGTAAATAAAATTTACCTTTGAAAATTTTAAATCTGTCCAGAAAATAATGTTCTTAAGTAACTCATGATAACTCTCCTTGATCAATTTTAAAAATAGGTGATAAGCCACTTATACCAAATAGTACTTTATACGGCAATTAAAGTGGAATGGTTTTCATTTAAATGTATTAGTTATTAGCTCACAGCTGGAATTCTATCATTTTTATAGTTAATTCTCACTACTCATAACTAAAACTTCAAAGTTATATTTTAAGGAATAAATATAGGATGCATTTAGATTATTACCTATTGTGCTGGCAATTGCAAATTCTGTGCAACAAAAAACCTTTTCCCCAGTTTACAAAGTCAGTCCTTTCATTAAACACACAATATGAGAATCCTATTTCACTATGACTAGAAGTAGAGTTCTTCTCTACAAGTTCTCAAACTAGACTTTTGACCATTTATTATTTATCTATTCTAAATGAGTTACTTAAATTGAATCCAGTTAAATGACCATATTTCTTCAAATCTTAGATCACTTTTCCCACACACACTTTTTTTTATATAACATCTCTAAAACAGGGATATATTTTACCAAAAAAATGGCATCTTAGCATTATGTCATATTTAGTATTTTTCTTTCCTAGTCGTATTTAAAACAAAGGTGAGTTTTAAAACCAAAGCATCTTAGGTCAGATGAAATATAACGTACATATTTTTAATTAGTGGTACTTAAAATTATAGTAGCTTATACTGCTTACACCTGTATTCCAAGAACTGTAAAATAAAGAAAGAGCTTTAGAATAGAGGTATTACTTAATTTTTTAAATTAATAATGTATTGATGAGGGTGAATGCTGCACCATTAGTCTTTTAAAACTTCTACTACAGGTACTGATACCCGAAAACTATTGTAAGCAATTCACCTACCTGCAAGTAAAGGTGATCTCATTTCCACTACTCCTACTGAAGGGCCACTAATGGATCGAGGTTGAGGAGTCACCGGAGCAGGCAAATCCCCCATTAAAAATCCAGGTAAAAACTGGGCATTAACTCCTGGCTTTGGAGACGTGGGGGAACCCAGCATCATTGGTTCCGATCCTAAACCAACGAAAAAATAAAGACATTTCCATTACAATACCCAACAAAAAAGACACAACAATCTGATTTTGACAACTTAATCAAAACTCTTAAATATTACAGAACTTTAGATGGATTTATTTTAAAAGCCAAAATTAGTCCTAAAAATACAAAATGATCTTATAGTCACAATATTTATCTTCAACAGCTGGGTTCTTTTTCACATGTCACTGATTTACAAATCAATACTTATTTGTAAATTTAAAAAATTAGCTACATCTGTAATCCCAGCACTCAGGAGGCTGAGGCAGGAGGAATAACAGTTCAAGGCCATCCTGGGCTATGTAGCAAGATCCTGGGGAGGGTGGGGGGAGAAAGTTTACTTTCTTTTTAAAAAATCCCTAATATAAACAGAATAATTTCTTTCCACTTCTGGGTCAGTTTCTACGAGGTAACACCACAAACAAAGAGAGAACCCTAGTTTTACATACAAAGTCTTAGGGAAATCAGAAACTAAATATCCCATTTCTTCTTCCCCATACACAACAGTGAGTAATTTTTGTGATAACAGTGTAATCACACATACAAATTATAGCACTTTATCATCCTAACTCAGAAGTACATTGAAAAGAGCTGCAAAAATTTTTTTGATATTTTTAAATTACTAGTTTAAAGTTTTGGAATACTATAAAACAGTAAGTTTTCCTAATATATAACTAATACCTCATGATAATCAATTCAAAATTAATCTTGACAATTTACAGGGCAGCTATTCCCATTATGAACATGGGAAAGTTATAACTTACTCTAATTTCAGGGTAAAATAACACAGTAAGGAAAGCACAGGCTAGGTAGTCAGAGACATGGGTTCAAGTTCTCTAAGCAAAATGAGCATAAGTGTAACATCTACTCAGAGCTTTTATTAGAATTATAGCAAATACAGCACTTGGCCTGATGTAACTAGTTGCTATTATCATTCTACCAGTATCTTAACGTGTAAGTGTAGAATTTGCATTTTCTGCTTATGAAAACTTAATTCTTCTGGACTGGTGAAGTGGTTCAAATGATAGAGCGCCTGTCTAACAAGCATGAGGCCCTGAGTTCAAACAACGACAACAACAACAAAAAAAAACCCACCCTGAAAACTTAATTTTTCCACTAGGTGACAAGCCTGAGTATGATTCATAGCACTCAGGTCAAATGTTTGGGGTGTTATTTGGGTGGCTTTTATTAACTATTACTTAACTTCTAAAAAAGCCTCAAACTTCTTTCTTGCTATTAAAAGTTGTTTATTATTTATTCTTCCTCTTATTTCTCATTAGAAGAAAAAAAGCAAAGTAATTCAGGAAACGGATAATGTAAAATCTGAAATAAGATGTGAAGAATGGTAGTTACATTGTAACTACTTTGTAAAGTGCTAATTATGCTACATAGTACTACATCTAAAGAACATACACTAAACTAAACTAAAAGTCTAAACAAAAGCATACTCTGAACAGATATTTAGAAAACCATAGTAATAAAATATAAAAATTTTAGTAACATCACAAACTACCTTCACTCTCTCATCTGCCAAAGGAAAAAGAAATTCTGGAAGAATTAAGTCTTCCTAAGAAAAGTTCTGATACATCTAAATATATATTGGTACAATAGAAAGCACTAAAGACACAACAGGCTCTTAAACCAAACTGCCACTAACTATCCCTCAGGGCTAAATTTCACTTAAAGAGAGAGCTAGACCAATGGATCCTGCATGTCTTAAATTTCACTTCACAATCTGTATTACTAAATCCTAAGTACTGTATTCGTCTTACTCAGCAGAATTTACTGATGTAAACATTTAGTTTAATATGCCAGTAGGAATTAGCAAGTGTGAAGCCCTGAATTCAAACCCAGTATTGAAAAAAAAATCATTTAATACGCCAATGGGTGCTGAGAAAACGTTACAACCGTAGGTACCTGCAATATGTGGACTAGTACAATATTTTTGGCCAGACAACAAACAAGTATGGTTTTTCCACATTTCTAGCCCCAACAAATATTCATTCCACAATGTCTTTGTTGAACAGAAAACTCTGGAACTTTAATTAGTTTCCCGATCTCTAAAATATAAGAAAAATAACTACACAAACATTTGTACACAAATTTTAATATAGCAAAGTACCTGTATTATTGGCACTATGCATTAAGCTTTTTAAAACATGCTAAAAACAGTTCCAGTTACTTTATTCTCAAAAGGAACTTATTTTACACAAAACATGCAAGCATTACATGCCATTCAAATCTAAAAAACTAACGACACAATATATTTCATACTTTCTCTTTTTCCAAACTCAGAAAGTCACGTTAAGTCTCTAACAGTGGACATTTTTATTCTCACAAGTCACAAAAAGCCAGCGAGGGGAGTTAAAGAAGGGGAAGAATCAACGTGTAGTTAACTTGGTAGATTTTTTTTTTTTTCAAAGACGAGGAAGCTTTCAACAAAGCTCCCCAATTTTAAAAAAAAAAAATGTAAACTCTTTAAATTGAGCCACTTTTCCAAGTTAAGGCTAGGAAAACCATGCGAAATCTCAGCTTACTATGAACATCAATACTCAATGGCCCCACCACCTGAGTGGTGTGTGTCACCCAACTGGGGCTACCTCTAATAACAGATTCCTTTCGTAAAGCCGGGATGGGGGATCAAAGCAGGAGCTGGAGCTTAGAAGACCCAGTAGCCTGGGAGGGCACCCGAAAAAGCGTAGTAGAGGCTGACGGCTGCCGCCTTCCAGTCTTGCCGCTTCCGGGCCTACGACATGGATGACAGCGCCATCGGAGAATAGCAGTTACTTTACTTACCCAGCGCGGGCGCCTGGGGCTCCACAGCAAAAGCTGCCATCCCGACGGCGGCAACTACAGTTATCCCGGGACCGTCCCAATTTTCAAAAATGGCGGAAACTCTTCCCACGGGCAGGGGCGCGCTCGCTTGAGGGGTTGCGCAATTCCGGACAGGCCCCTAGATACGCGTTGTGGCGTGGAGCCAATCTTGGCAAAGGCAACGGGGGGAAGGCTGCTTTTGGTCACGTGTCACAGAAGCAACCTATTCTTTTAGTCTTAAGGTTCTGCTTGCGTTTCACTTAATGTTTTGTCATCTTCCCGTTTTTCTGAGTAATAGCTGGAAACGTAGGTTTGATGAAACAGACTTGCCTCTTTCCCATGTCCATTTCTGCACTTAATACAGGACGCTTCTTCCTCAAAGCATATTTTGTACCACCTGTATGCCATTTCCTTTAAAGTTTGTGTGGTATAGGCACACTTTCACATTAAAGCATAACTCGCATGCTGTTTGATTGCATACTACATCCAAAAGAATACATGTACCCAAAAAGCATGTGTAGGTAAATAAGGGATAGAGATAAAACTGTGAGGCCACCACACCTCTGTGTGCTCCTGCCCATGCCATCTTTGCCCTGTCTCCTTCTTCCTTCAATTTGCTGCTTTTCTTTAAGGCCTATTCATATATTGGTCACACACACAACTTTCTATATGTTATGAAAGTGCGTTGTTTGGCTGTTTACAAATTCTATAAAAATAAGATGCTACGTTCTGTGATGCTCCTTAGTCCCCACAAACTCATTTTAATCCCAAAAAAACCTCTGGACTTTTCTGAAGTCCCAGTTCCAGAAAGAATTTCTGTCACTGAGCGATGCAATAGCAATGCCGCCATTATATGACAGGTTCTCAGGAATGTTCTATTTTTAAAAAACTCTTTACGTCAACCTTTTTTTTTTTTTGGAATACTGAGTTGACTCGGCTTTTGGCTTTTCAAGGGCAGGCACTCTACCATTTGAGTCACACCTCCAGCCCAACCTTTTTTTTTTTTGGTTTTAAAAGTGAGTGTGTGTGTAGAATTATATCACCAGGAATAGTTATGTTCAAGTCTTATTACTTGTGTACCTATTTGGAAATAGTGTCTTTGCAGATACAATTAAAAATTAAAGACAAGTCATATAGATAACACCCAACTGGACAACTTTAAAACAACACTAATTTGCCTTTTTACTAAGAGAGGCCGAAATGAAAAATGCAGTCACAGAGCTAGTAACTAGATATCACATTTCAGCCCATAAACTCCAGCTATGCACTATTTAGAATAATTACCAAGAAAGAGTTCTCAATAAAGGAAATTTCTAATTTGCAATATTGATCAGCCCAAACAAAAGAAAACGTAGGCACATGTTAAAAAAGTAATAAGTGGATTTTAATATGTGTGTTTAACCTTAAAACCTATATGATATATATAAGAAAAAGTAACTATAAACCATAGGTATTTCTATAGCATTCATTTCATTTTCATTTGGCAAAAAAAGAGGCTTAAGGGAAAAAACTGAAAACTATTAACAGGACAGTAGAGGGCGTCTGCTTAAATTGGGAGACAAATTTAAGGACTTTAAGGGTGCAGAGTGGTTCAAGTATATCAGCACCTGCCTAAGTGTCAAACCCAGTATGCCCAAAAAAAAAATTTTTTTTAAAGAAGGACCTTAACTTATTTTTCCATAATTTTTGTGGTTGATTCTGGATGTTGTACTATTTTCAGTAGATTTTAAATTAAGAACTTTTTTCCTTTCTGTTTTGGGTAAAGCTACATTTCCTATTTCTCACCTAACTTTGTGCTCCTTACCTTATTTTTCAGTAATGAGCCTATTTCTTTCAGCCTGGAAATACTGTTTGTGAAGCCTTTGTCTCCTCTCCTTTTTCAACTCTTAGTATTAACATTCTTTGACACTCATCAATTGTTACATCTATGCAAATAATTTCCCATATTGTATGCTCAATCTCTTTATAAGCCAACTGTCATTTTTCCAGATACTTGCTGAACAAAATCAGTACATTGGACCACAGAAACAACTCATTACTCTTAAAATTAGCCTCATTCCTGCTCACTTTCTGTTAGTGTCTTAGAAACCCAACATTTAAATCACAGTATATAAGAGAGCAGAACTGAGAGTCAAATGTACTTGCATACAAAACCCAATGCTCCTGTGTAGACCCTGGGTAACTTGGGTTTGTAATTAATGTCTACATTTTATTTCTTGTAAAATGGAAACCATATCATTATTTTACCATAGTGCCTCGTCCACTCTGCTTTTACTGACATTTACCTTTGCTGCCATCATACATTCAAATACCGAACCCTATTCCTTCTGCCTCCTTGATTTCAAGACAACTGCAGCAAAATCTTCACTTCTCTCTGCCTTCAGTGTCTTTCACCAAGCCTAATATACCAACAGCGAAAAGTCCCCTCTTTGTACCTACTACCCAGCGGTCCCAAAAACCCTCACTGGGATCTAGGGATATATCAGTCTGGGTTCCAATCCCAGCCACCTCTCCCAAGGAAAGAAAAGGGAAAGCCATTTCTGACTTCCTATTTCTTACAGCTGCCTCCTTTTCTTGAGCTTCCGCAAGGTTCACATGTGCAGCAAATGCCAATAAACTAGGTATGTTTTCTCTTGAGCAGCAAAGGAAGGGAAAATCAGAATCCCTCAGAGTGGGAGAAATCTTCTTAGAAATTCAATAGGCACCCCCTAAAGCAAACATTCACCTATAGTGTAAGTTGATAACGCTGGCTCCAGAAGTAAGTGTTCTTCTGACCCTAACCTCTTCCAGTGAGTTCTCTGTTGTTCCCCTTTGCAAACCCTCATGTTCTTGTGATGCCTTGCACACAACAATCCCCCCTACCTGACACCCTTCACTTTCCCCACCAACCTACAAAGCCCTGTTCTTCAGCTATAAGCATGTGTCCCTCAGAAGGAAACCTCATTCCAACCCTCAATCATCCCAGCTGCTTTAGTCACCCAATGCATTGTCTCCACTACTCCTTTACTGTAGGGTACTTATTTTCTACGTTTTCTTTTCAGCCCTACTGGGTGGATTTTCTTGAGAGCAGAGACCACTACCTTTTCTTTCTTGTATTTTCAGTACATATACATTGAAAAAATAAGTGATCAAACTAATGAGAAGCTCTAAATATTGAACAATGAATAACTACCTAACACGACCCTATTATAGCAATTTGCACATTTTGAAGATTTTTTTAAATTATAAACTCTACACATTAATTCTATTAGAAGTTTATTTACCTGTTAATGAAGACCTGTTTATAATTGTTTTTGTAATACTAAACTTTTCAAAACTTGGATTATCTTAAAGGAAAAACACTTGTACAAATTTTTGTATTTCTATTAAACTACGCTTTAGAAATATTGATTTATTGCCAGCACAGTGCTCATGCCTATAACCACTACCTCAGGAGGCAGAAATCAGGAGGAATCTCAGTTCCAAAGCTAGCCCCAAGCAAATAGTTCTCAAGATTGCTACCGTTGAAAAAAAAACCCTTCACAAAAAAAACGGGTGGTGCTCAAGGTGGGAGGCCCTTTGTTCAAGCCCAAGTACTGATTGAGGTGATTCGGGCTGCAACATCTGCACCCCATTGATCGCCAGGGTTTGATTTGGCTGATCTGCTGGCTAGGCTGGTGGCCCCTTCCTCCCTCACCGGCTCCATGTCGTCCCTTCCCAAGCGCAAGCTCAGTTGAGAGACGACCAATCCCCGTGAGGAGGACCGTTCTTCGCGTCATAGGTATACGAGTAGCCTGCGCTCCCTCAGAACCTCCCAGAACAGCCTCAGCCCATTTACTACAAAAAATAAAAATAAAAAAAATATTGATTATTTACATACTGCTGTTACAACAAATTATTAACATCTTAATTACAAACTTGCTTTTCTACTTTCTATTCTGAACATATTTGAACATACTAATAAAATTTCATATGAAGTAGAAAACCTGTTCCCTATTTCTATTCTGAATTGGAGAACCAGGTAGAGACAAGCCCATCAACTCATACTCCTGCCCCCTAACCTGTCCTCTGATAGGACAGGAAAGCTTAGCTGGAGAATCTAAGCTGCAGCGAGCTTGACCTGAAAATTAATTCTGGGTCATCTATATTTCTACTTTTCGTCTAAACTCATATTTTTTTAAAAATCTGAATAATAAAAAATCTCAAATTTTATTTGTATAAATTATATATCTATAAAACCCAAATTCTTGATGGACCTATCACTGTACTGAAAAGTCATTTTCAACCTAATTATAATATTCTACTAGTGTAAAGTATTGATATACAGAATATTAAATTCATGGTCTTAAAGCTCACTTTCATCTAATTCTATGTAAAAAAAAAAAAACAAAAACTTTTAAAATTCAAAGTAAGACAAAAAGATATCACACCTTTAGTAAGACTTTAGGAAAAAGATGGAGTCTGTCATCTTCAGAAAGAGAGCAAGGGATGGGAGTGTTTGCTGGGCTCGTGCTCCCTTCATCTCTGCCTTTGCAGCTAGTGTAGCATGGCTGTCACCAAGGCTGTTTGATTGCGACAGAAAGCACAGAGGAGCCCTGACTGCACAGTCCCAAGACCAAATATCCCAGAACACCTACATAAGGTTTAAGATTTTAAAGGAAGTATCTTCAAAAAAAGAAAGGAAAATACAAATCCATTACATGTTATTTGCATTCTGCTGATCTCCATTAAAATAATAAAACTGAAGTCATATCTTTGTAAAAAGATAAACTATGGCATATATAAGTTTGTGAGGTTTGCTTGATAATTTCATTATAGTAAGCAGGACTTGCAGAAAAGAAAAGCCAAACATCAAAAACATATAAATCAGTTGATCATCCCTTGTTTCTAATCAATTTAAATGATCCTTTTACTTTGGAAGTGAAAAAAGTAATTTTCAAAATTTACATAAGTTCTGAGTAATTTTATTTTCCGGGGTCATCGATGTTAATTGTCAGTAGATTTAATCAGATATTTGAAAACTAAGGAAATTATATGATGTAAAATGACAATGGAGGGGGGATTGATTTTAAAGAATGATGTCTGGAATTGCCCTTG